GCTAGCCCCATGGTGGACTCCATGCGGGTGTGATTGTGATTGTTATTATATGTGTGATGCACGTTATATGATAATGCATGTTACTATTGCTGCATGTGATTGTGAATCATCGTTCTAACACCGTTCTCGTTGAGAACGGGTTTACCGAGTTCAACCCGGACTACTCACTAATCAGTTGTGCTTAGCCCTCGTGGTTTTACATTTTTCAGATCACGAGGATTACGCCTAGCACACGGACGACGACGACCTGAGAGAAGCAGCATCATGTACGGGATTTTATTTTGAACTTCGGGACTTGTATTCCCGCATTTTGTACGGTTATGTTATGACTTTTCGGACATGTGTTGTTTTGCGATATTGATCGCTTGTATTTTCCGTTGCTTACTCTGGTTTGATTAAAAATATTTTTGGATTTCGTGATTTTACTTCCGCGACTTATTATTTTATTTTATATCGTCCATGTTGCACAGCCCGTATACTGTACACGGGTTACGGGTGTCACAGGGGGCTGCACACTTGGAGAGAAAAATCAACTTGAAGAAGAGGAAAGGGAGATTTTGGAGATCTAGGAGGCTCGGAGAAGAAGAAGGCCACCATTGAAGACCATCTTGAGCTTTTCTTCTCCTTCTCTATGTTTCTTCATTTCGCTTTCTGTTTTGAAACCCTAGATATGGAGTAGTGACTTTGTTATGGGTGAGGGATCCCCACTTTTGTATGGATACCTATGCTTAACCTATGATGTTTATGAGTTTTCTTCCATGGGTTTGATGTTTTGTGCTTAATGCTATCAACTTTGGCGAAATCTTAGTTGGTGTGATGTTAGAACACATTGATCATAGGGATATGGGGATGATGTTTGGAACCAAACATCAAATGAGTGAGTTATTCACATTGGGAGATGGCTTAACTTGCTTAGGGTTCATGATAGGGTACATTAATGCATCTAGAGATCATTTAAATCATTGGAAAATGGGTAAATCGATTCTCTAGGTAGTGAGTTTAAGCTCGGGAGAGACAAACTCTAGATGAAGTGCTTGAAACCCCCATTTGGAAGATAAATCCGTAGATATTGTAGTATCATCAACCGTCCATGCAAGTCTTGAGGGATCCCGAACCCACAACGCCTAGAATCATTGTTTGCAACCCCGTTAATTTTATTTGCGAAATTTCATTTCGATACCCATCACAAATCACATTTTTATTTGACCATCAATCTAGCTTAGGGATAGACTAATACAACCTAGTCCTCGTGTTCGACCCCGTTACTACAACTACCGTATACTTGCGGATAGTGGTACGAATCGGGTACTAAATATAAGACTCGGTGCGTGCGCATCAGCTATGCATGATTTGATTATGGATCTAGGGTAGATTTCATGTTCTTTGTTGCATAGTGTGCAAGAGGCTTCTTTCTGAGTTCACAGGTGAAAACTGGGTTGAAATCGGATCTGAATCGGGACCGAAACGACGAAGAACGAGATCTGATCGCGTTTTTCCGCCTAGACCGAACGGTCTGGTTCTCTGGACCGGACGGTCTAGGGTTTGTCATTTCCCTGACTAAATGACCTCAGTCCGTTCGGACCAAGATGTTGGACCGAACGGACTAAGGTGTGTAGACCGAACAGACTGCTTAGCCAGTCCATCCGGTCTAGGTCACTAGTCCGAGAGAGAAGGTCCGAAGGGGCAAGTCTGAACGGTCTGGAGAGTCGGACCAAACAGACTGAAGAGTCAGTCCGAACGGACTGACCATTCCAGACCGAATGGACCGACTATGACCCGAAGACCGAACCGCCTAGACTGATCGGTCTAGGCCTAGATCGAACGGTCTAGGACCTGACGCTTCACCAAAATTAGATTTTGCGTTTCGGGATCTGGTTTGAGCAATCGTTGCCTAAAACCGATCAACTGTGATTCAGAATAACATGATTCTTTCTTATGGATGGTCCATAGTGAATGAATCTATGTAACTTAACCAAGATAGTATATATGCTTGATTGAGTGGGAGTTTCGGGATTAGGATTGCATAATCGATTGGATCGTCCATTCGGATTATGAACAATCGTTGCACAGAAACCGGTTAGATCTAGGAGCTCTACGAGAGAAGCACTTGTCAAGGCCTCGATCGTACGTGTCATGGGCCATGCCAAAGCTGGGTGTGCCGTATTATCTTGGTGAGGCAAGATGGAGAAATGGTGGTTCTCATAGCTTGAAAGTAGATGTTTGATCTAAGTGTGGTTTCGAAAATCCCTTATTTATGTAATGCTAAGCGTGTACCTCCCATTATTAGAGCGCCTGTCAAGGCATCGATCGTCCGTAACACGGGTCATGCCAAAGCTGAGCGTACCGGATTATCTTTGTGAGGCAGGGTAGAAAATCGTGGTTCCTACAGCTTGAATATGGTTTATCTTGGGTTAAGTTGTCAAGTTCTGACTTGAAACTTAATGGTATAGATGAGACGAATATGCAGTGATATTTGATATCATAAGTCTCATAAAGGATCTAAGAATCACATTGGATGTGATTGACATTAGATGTCTACCTAAATAGCATAAGAATAGGTGTAACAATTTATTCTTGTGTGAAATACGGATCTTAGTGTGATCGACATTAAATGTCTACCTAAATAGCATAAGCATGGGTGTAACAATCCATACTTATGTGAAATACGGATCTTAGTGCCATATAGAAAATTATTATAGGGTTATTTTTCTGTATGGGAATATAGCTCGTTTTTGCATCTAAGTTGTCATTGTTTGATGATGGACTAGCTGGTAGTAGATCATATATATGTAGACACTAATTGATGATGGGCTAGCTGGTAGTTGATCATTAATAGAATCTGCATTTGTTATGTATGTTCTGTTTGTCTTTTTTGTAGGACATGGCGTCAACCGATACGTACCGAGTTTGACGATGCGATCTTCCTTGAGAAGGATAAGCTGACCGGGACGAATTTCTTAGACTGGTATTGGAACTTGAGAATTGTTCTCAAGCACGATAAGAAGTCTTACGTCCTGGAAGGGGCTCTACCACCAGAGCCTGCAGCCAATGCCACGAGGGCCGTCAAGGATGCTTGATTGAAGCATCAGACTGACGACATCGAGATCTCTTGTCTCATGTTGGGAATCATGGCCCCGAATCTGCAGAAGCAGTTTGAGGGGAAGAGTATGTTTGATATGATCAATCAGCTCAAGACCATGTTTGAGGAGCTAGTGCGTACTGAAAAGTACAAGACGCTGAAAGCTCTGGTGAAGACGGAGA